GAGTAATCGTTTCATCAAACTTCAGCGAATAAATCGTATATCAGAATACGAAATTAATTCCAATAAGAAAAGTTCATTTATTAAAAAACAATTTAACGAAAGAAAAGCTTATCTCATTTTTTATCAAAATTCTTTATCAAAACATACGAAACCCAGTCTCATAACCTGTCACATCACTGTTTCCAACTGATAACAATAATCCAGCATAAAATTAACGTCATCCATTTCCAAGAGGCAACGATATTTCTCCACCGTAAGCACTTTTCTCTCTTCGCCCATTTCATCCCAGCCAAAAAGCATTATACAGAGCATCGGAACATACGTTGTACGTGTAACCCAAAGTACCTCTCGTCTCTGTGGAAGTTAACAACACCCGCAAAAACCCGTTGTTCGGGGATAGAATCGAGAACAGGAAGAGCGATTCTTTTCTTGGGAATTTCGAAGGAAGAAGGTAACTGAAACGGGTATTCAGGCCGTCTCACAACCTTTGTAATCTTTACCTTTGTAAAATGAAAATTCATCGTGATGCAAGAACCTATCTCGCAATTAGAACGATTTTAAATACGTTTTCTTTGTTCTTACATTCGCGTCTTTGCCTCCAATGTTCGTCCATGAACAAGACCTCTTTGAGATCTCTGCGTTATGTATCCTATACGTATATCCAGAGAATTCAGAAGAAAAAGATAATAGAGAAGATGAGAAACGGAAGGAGGCTCTTGCGTTAAAGTTTAATGGACCAACCTTTTTTCTGAATCTTAGATAGAAATCCGATAGAGGGAGACAATTCGTGAATGTTTCTTTCCAAAAAAGAAGAGAAAGATCGTACTCATTGGCTCGTCGAAGCGTCTCTTACGATTTTGGAACATTTTCCAAAACGAATTCTTCAATTTCATCAATTAAATCCCTTTTTTTAATCATTTCATCGAAAACTTAACTAGAACTAGTCTGTTACTGAGATAATTCCTTTTCAGTTCGTCTTCGTATCTTCGAACGCGTCTCGACTTTTCCAAATCATCAGGGTGTCACGAGTCCTCGATCACGAATCGAAGCGCTTTAAACGCGGAAAACGTGTTCGAGGATATAATTTTCTACGAAGCGGGGTTAATATTTCATCATTCGCGACAAAACGCTTGACTGGGTCATCGTGTCGCGCAAGAATCGAAAGATTATTCGCAGAGGAATCAATTTAAAGATTCGCTCGAGTCGTTCGATCGGCTGGATTTTCTGCTGGCCATCTTTCGCGCCGACATCCGTTAAAAATCGATACCGTGGCCCTTCCGTGATATCGACGCAGCTCGACTTCGCGCTGTCACGCTGTCGTTCACACTGATAAATTTGATGAACATGACGGAAAAAAAAAAATGGAACAAATTTTGAAATTGGCACGTGGTTGTTGGAACATGATTTTTCTGCTTCCTGTTTCGATGCGACGAGCTTTCAACGAGTATCTTGAAATATTATTTGTAATATTGCGATAATGTATGTTATTATTTAACGGAATTTCATGAGAAATTGAACGTTTTTACGTTGGAATCAGAAAGGAAGTGTAGGCGATCGTCTGCTTCTATTTTTCTGATGATAAATTTCGTTTGGCATTTATGGAAAATTCAGGCAACTCTGATAAATTGAACAACTGTCGTTTGACTTGCGAAAACATATCATTGATTCATTGAAATATCGTGTGCTACTTCTTAGAGCATGTAACGATGAATATTACATTAAAGAACCTTTATATCGGTTATTAAAAACTTTGGTGAATTCCATTAGTTTCGATCATTATAATAATATAATAAATAAATAGATATAAAATATATGTTTCTTGTAAGAAAGATGGGAAACGTGACACGAGGAAATTTTAGAGGAAGATAAAGATAAGACGAGAGATTTCTCTTTGAAATTCGACTATAAATTTCTTTAACTTTGCCTTAAAACCCAAGACGCAATGTCTTCTTCTTTCCCATAATTACGACGAGAATTCTCGACGAGATAACAAACGAACGTCATAAAGTATTCAAACTTCTATTCAAATTATCCCTAACTTTGTCAATATTCAAAATTCAGATAAGAATTTTACTCGAGTATCGATATTATTCAAAACCTTGCTGTTTGAACGCGTTACAGACAAAGATACATTTCTTCTAATGATCCAAATATTTAAAAATTTACAAATATTATAAAAAAATCCAGAAATTCCTATTCTTTCTTTCTCTATACTCGAGAAGAACTATTTATAGTATACAAACCAGCGTGGAAATTCGTAGTGAGGAAGCGAGCAACATTAATCATCTATGAGTGGTGGAGTGGATTTTAAAATATAACCCGTTAAATTTTTCAAGTTTTTATATTACTCTTCATCGTCCCTACGCATCTTCAAGTTTCGCGCACGAATCGTATTAATCAAGCCAACGTAACTGATTCACGTGATCTCTCTCAACTACGTTTCTTTCGCACAAATGCGATATCCTTCCCCGAACAGAGAGAAAAAAAGGAAATTAAGATCCTCGCGTTAAACGAATCGACGATAAAGTGCACTCGTTTCTCAGATTATTTCAAAAGATCAAGATCAACCGACGAGATTTCGCAATTGTGTGTCCCTTTTGTTCCTTTCTTATTTTTTCTTCTACCAGAATTATTTTTATACGCGAAAATCTAACGCTTGATAATAAATAATTTTCAAGTAATGATTTCAACAAATAATAATTATTCAACAAACGAACTGGAAAATATCTCGACCTAGTGAATTTCTAGTTAAAGTGAAAAATTATTTTCGATCTTTTCAAATATATTCAGATTAATTACATCTTTTCGGGGGAAAAAATTATTTGCTTTATTTCTTAATTAAAGATCAAAGTATTGATAGATATAAACACAAGATATATACTTCTTTCT